CACACAGGCCCCGAGCCCAGCTCCAAGGGCTCCATGGGGGCCGTGGCTGTGCTGGAGCTGCTGTACGTGCCACTGTGGGGTGCCCATGGGAAAGAGGGGCTCTGGGATGGGGTGTGTTGGGCTGCAAGGGCTGGAGATGGGATGGAGACCATCACCTGCTCAGGCTGCTGCCCCGTTCTGCTCCATCCCTGGGCCTGGCACGGCAGGGCCAGGCTTGAGGGAACAGCAGAAACCTCAGCCAGGCCCACCTGAGCACTCACCAGATGCGTGGACCTGGTGCTGTGGAGGAGGTGGCTGCTCCCCCAGCAGCCACGGGCAGCAGGGTGCAGGGATCCCAGCTTTCTGGCTGCTTCCAGGGGCTGGGGCCGAGGGCAGGAGCCGACGCGTCTGTTCCGTGGCCGCGCTGGCCGGGCCTGTGCCCTCCTGGCCCCGGGTGGCTTTGCCAGGAGAACAACCTGTGAGATCTCCCACAAGAAACATCTTTCATTTTCTCACTGCAATCCTTTATTGACACTTTTTTTTAAAAAAAATAAATAGATCTTATTTGTAGATGTAATGAACAGCTGCATTTCCCTCCTGCCTTGTCCCTGTCCCCTCCTGAGCTGCAGTCACTGCAGAGCAAAGGCAGGGGGTGAAGCCTTTAGCTGCAAGTGCCCTTCACACAGAGCAGCAGCCCCAGGGCTTTCTGTCAGATGGTCCAGGGGAACCTCTGTCATCAGGCAACTGCCTGGGGCTTTGCAGGGATTTTTTAATAAATCTACATTTTCTCTCCTCGGTGGTGTCACAAGAGTGACTTTGACAATGAAGAAATCCCCACTAAACCCCTGGTGCTGCTGCACAGACCTGGCAGAGTGTGCACCAGCCCTGTGGATAAAAACCTGGAGGAAGAGCTGAGAAAGGTGTGGGCCTTGTTCCTGAGCTGGGAATGAGCACTGGGCTGTGATCTGCAGACCTCGTCGAAAATTGCTGTGGTTGTAACTGCTGCTGCTTCTCTGAAGGTTTTGTGATTGTCTGTCCTGTTTAACCTTGTTAAAAGAGACAGAGGCCTGTGTAATTAGGCCAGGAACCCAAATGCAGGCCTTTGGGTTCCACTCCAGTTCTGTATCAGTTCTCCTGGCTGCCCTTGGAAAAAATAACATTTGCTTTTCCTGTCCCCTAACCTATCAAGTGAGAAGGGCTGTGCTGGTGGATTCTGCCAGGGATGCAGGAATATTTGGTGTCCTGGACAGCTGCACCTCCCCTTGAAATGATGGATGGGATAAAAAGTTGTCAGGGCATGACAATGTCACGACAGGAAAGTGAATGAGCAGCACTGAGTACCTGAAATGCCACCCAGGGCTCTGAAATTGGCTTCCATATGCTTGCCTGACTGAAGGAAGCAGGCAGGGGGGCAAAGCTTCAGCTCCACAGAGCTTGGCCACTCATGAGCCTGCCATTGCTGGCTGGAGTGTTACCATCCAGTCATGGAAATCAAGGATCTGCTGGCATTTTCTGAGCCTTGGGCATTGCCCAGTGTGTTCCAAGTGCCAGGTTTCTCATTAGTGGCCGATAATGGGCCCTATTGCAGGGTTTGATATGATTTCACCCTTCTGCACCTGTGTGAGGCTTCTCAAGGCTTCAGCACTTTTTTATGTACTCTGGAGTTTTATTAGACTGAAAGAGTGACTTTGACAATGAAGAAATCCCCACTAAACCCCTGGTGCTGCTGCACAGACCTGGCAGAGTGTGCACCAGCCCTGTGGATAAAAACCTGGAGGAAGAGCTGAGAAAGGTGTGGGCCTTGTTCCTGAGCTGGGAATGAGCACTGGGCTGTGATCTGCAGACCTCGTCGAAAATTGCTGTGGTTGTAACTGCTGCTGCTTCTCTGAAGGTTTTGTGATTGTCTGTCCTGTTTAACCTTGTTAAAAGAGACAGAGGCCTGTGTAATTAGGCCAGGAACCCAAATGCAGGCCTTTGGGTTCCACTCCAGTTCTGTATCAGTTCTCCTGGCTGCCCTTGGAAAAAATAACATTTGCTTTTCCTGTCCCCTAACCTATCAAGTGAGAAGGGCTGTGCTGGTGGATTCTGCCAGGGATGCAGGAATATTTGGTGTCCTGGACAGCTGCACCTCCCCTTGAAATGATGGATGGGATAAAAAGTTGTCAGGGCATGACAATGTCACGACAGGAAAGTGAATGAGCAGCACTGAGTACCTGAAATGCCACCCAGGGCTCTGAAATTGGCTTCCATATGCTTGCCTGACTGAAGGAAGCAGGCAGGGGGGCAAAGCTTCAGCTCCACAGAGCTTGGCCACTCATGAGCCTGCCATTGCTGGCTGGAGTGTTACCATCCAGTCATGGAAATCAAGGATCTGCTGGCATTTTCTGAGCCTTGGGCATTGCCCAGTGTGTTCCAAGTGCCAGGTTTCTCATTAGTGGCCGATAATGGGCCCTATTGCAGGGTTTGATATGATTTCACCCTTCTGCACCTGTGTGAGGCTTCTCAAGGCTTCAGCACTTTTTTATGTACTCTGGAGTTTTATTAGACTGAGATATTTCCTCAGGTCTGGCCTCCAGCCCACAGGAGCAACATCTGCAGGGCTCTCACACGGTAACTCCAGTTACCTCAGCCATGGGCTGGCCTCAGCCTACTGAAGGCCAAGTGTGTGGAGACTCCCCTGGCTTATCTGAGAGCCAAGACTGGGTCACAGGATTGGCACAGAGCTGCCCTCCTCACTATATAGATACAGGCTGCCCTCTGGGGACTGTCTCTCCAGGTGTGCACTCACCATGGCTCGCTGGGAGCTCCTGTGCTTTGCCTTGTGCTCCTGCCTTGGCACAGCATGGGCTGCAACTGTGAGTACAAAAGCACTTCTTGTGTCCTCACCTTCTGCTTTTCATGTTTAGGAGCTGCTGCTGCCTGTCTGCTCCAAAGGGCAGGGTGCAGGACACATCTCCAGCCTGTGGGCTTTCCACAGGAATCCAAAGGGATGGCTGGGGAAAGGGGGGGGGGGCTGCAAGTGGGGGGTCTGGGCAGGGCAAGGTTGGGGTGCTGGTGACATGGGAAGCCAGAGGTGTGAGGACTGTGCAATGGATTTCTCTTCTCTCCTCTGTGGTACCACGTGCAGCTGGGTGTGGTGTACACCGAGGGTGGCTTCGTGGAAGGTGAGAGTAAAAAACTGGGACTCTTTGGGGAGTACATTGACATCTTCAGAGGGATCCCCTTTGCTGCCCCTCCAAAGACTCTGGAAGACCCCCAACCTCATCCTGGCTGGGAGGGTAAGTTCTAGCTTTTGAGTGCCTTTCATCTGGGGGGTTATTTTTCTCTTCAGTTTGTTATTGATGAGCCAAAGATGTTTTTGTCTGTTTTCATCTCCTAAGCACTGCCAAGAAAAAGCTCTTAGTTTCATGGTAGGTGTGACAGACTGTGTCTAAGTCTCCCCAAGCAACTCAAGTAACCACATGAATTGACACAAGCAAAGCCTGGCTCCTACATCTCCCATCCCCATGCCTCGGCTGCCCAGAGCTCCTTCAGATGGGAAGGGTCCCACCTTGTCACTCCCTCAGGCTGGTCACAGTGACTGGGGAGGCTTTGCTGCCTCAGCACTGGACTCACAGAGGAGAGGAGGGATGGACAGGCAGCTTGCAGCCAAAGGATGGAGTTGATGCCTCTAACTAGGACCTGCTGTCTCCCTTCTCTCCTCTCAGGAACACTGAAGGCAAAAAATTTCAAGAACCGCTGCATGCAGATGACTCTCACACAAACTGCTGTCCGTGGGAAGGAGGACTGTCTCTATCTGAACATCTGGATCCCTCAGGGAAGGAGGCAGGGTATGTGCTTGGCAGAGACCTGGGGAAGAGATTCTTCATGGTCTTTTGGGAACAAAGTGCTCTGGAGCATCTCTCAGCAGCCACGTTCCCATAGTGGGCAACTGCAGGAGCACTGATGGTCAGAGGGAAAGGTTGGAGCCAAGTGAACCAATGTCCCTCAGCTGCAGGAACTCCCAAGTCCTGTTGGGACTTTCAGCCTCTTTCTTGGCCATAGCCTATTGCAGAGCATCATGTCTCTGCATGCCCTTGTGGAGTGATGCTCAGCGAAGGGGCACGGGATGGATGGGCAGCACCTTCTAGCTGTGTTGTGCCTCACGCCGCTTTTCTTCCTCATCTCCCAGTCTCTACCAAACTGCCAGTGATGATCTACATCTACGGTGGTGCCTTCCTAGTAGGAGGGGGCCAGGGAGCCAACTTCTTGAACAACTACCTCTACGATGGGGAGGAGATCGCCACGCGGGGCAACGTGATCGTGGTGACCATCAACTACCGTGTGGGGCCCCTGGGCTTCCTGAGCACTGGAGATGAAAACATGCCAGGTAGAGTGGCTGGACTCTGTCATGGGTCCCCAGTTTATCAGCTTTGCTGTCCCCTTGCTCAATGGTGGGTGCTCTCTGTTGCTCAGGGAACTACGGGCTGAAGGACCAGCATATGGCTATTGCCTGGGTGAAGAGGAACATCAAGGCCTTTGGGGGTGACCCGGATAACATCACCATCTTTGGGGAATCAGCTGGTGCCACCAGTGTTTCCCTGCAGGTGTGTTGTCCTTCTCAGCCCCCACCTGAGCCACTTCTCTTAAGAGATGGTCCCCTTGGTGCTCCATGGCTTTCCTCCACACACATCACCTGATAAACATCCTCTCCTGCTTGGGGACAGCCACTTTTGCTTTGTAGCTGTTCCTCCTTCAGCTTAATCAATCCTACCACTGCAGGCACATGTCCTTGCTTTTGGGACCTCTACTGACACAGCAGTTACTTCCCATCTCCTCTACCTCTCTTCTCACCAGGTCACCTTTTAACTTTACCTGCTGAGACTGTTCCATACCACAAGCAGCTTCCCCAGGCCTGGTACTCGAGTTGTGGGGGGACTGGCCAGGTCTGGCAGGCAGTGGTCTCTTCAGGACATTGTACATGAATCCCCCTTGTTCATGTTTTGCCCCACAGACACTGATCCCAAAGAACAAGGGGCTGTTCAAGAGAGCCATCAGCCAGAGCGGCGTCGGGCTGTGCAGCTGGGCCATCCAGAGGGACCCGCTGGCCTGGGCTAAAAAGGTAACACACAAGTTATAGTTGCCCAAGTTAACAGGTTGCCCAGGGAGGCTGAGGAAGCCCCTTCCCTGGAGGTGTTCAAGGCCAGGTTGGTGAGGCTCGTGCAGCCCGGGCTGGTGGGAGGTGTCCCTTGCTCATAGCAAGGAGGTTTGAACCTGATGAGTTTTAAGGTCCCTTCCAACCTTCACCATTCTGTGATTCTACGACAAGTCTTGCCTGAGGGAATGGAAAACCAAAAATGTGATTCCCTAGAGACAAGCATAAGTAGCAAGGGCTCTGGGGGGAGCCACGCAGCCAAGCAGAGCTCTGGAAACACCCTGCTTGGAGGGAAAACCAACCACTCCTCTACCTCGATGAAGCTGGAGATGAAGCCTGGCTTTGGAAAGTAACACTAGGAGGTTTCTCTCTCTCCTCCTGCAGCTTGGAGAAAAAGTGGGCTGCTCCTCAGACAACACCACTGTCCTGGCCAACTGCCTGCGCCAGTCTGACCCCAAAGCCCTGACACTGGCCTATCACCTGCAGCTGATCCACCTGCCCGGTGAGTCCTCCAGCCCCTGCTGGGGCTCCCCACCCACACAGGGCTCACCCTGCCTTGGTGGGACACTGGGGTGATGGCCAGGAGCTCCAGAACTCAGCTGAGAAAAAAAATAATTGACCACTACCTTGCTATTTTCATCTGAGTCGCTGGGTGGAGTGTGGAACTCTCGCACCAGATAGAGAGTGTTTCTGTGTTTGGTGCCTGTGGGGATTTCTTGCCCAAAAAGCCTCTCCTTGGCTTGCTCTCCTCGTGCTCCCAGTAAATCGCCCCAGTATGTAGTTTTGCTCAGGACAGAACGTGGCAAAGCCACCAGGTGTCCCGGCAATGAGTGAGCACAGCCACAAGGGATGGGGAGAAGTTCTGCTCTTTCATACTTTGGCTGTGCTTTTTGGAGGAGAGGAATTTTTTATGCTACCTGCTGGTACTTGGCTGGCAGATCTCTTGCTCTTCTCCACCTATAGGCATGAGGTTTACTGAACATAACCCTGTGGTCACCCTGCTCCTGGGTGACATCCTGCCTGTGCTGAAGTCACTGCCCAAGCTCTTTGTCACCTCAGCCTATCCTTTCTACAGTTCCTTGAGTCAAGGGATAGGCCAGGCCACGCTCTGCCTTTCCTCAGCTCCTGACAGACTCTGGTTTTATTCCT